AGAAAGTTCATTAAGGTGAAAAATTAAGCAATTTATTAGAGGTGGAGCTAATTTTTTGATATGAAATATGGACGATAGTAAACGTGCATTAAAATAATAAACATTTTTTTTTTTTTTTAATTATTAATAGATTAGCATTTTATCTCTTTTTTTCTGACATGAAATGAAATTCATCAAAAGCAAAGGCAAAACAAAAAAGAAAGGAGAAATACTAAGCATACAATAAATACAATAAATGATTAACACACATGCAAACTTAAAAATATTTGCTAATGCTAATAAAAATTTGAATAATTGTTTCCAATAATGAATCACTTATGGCATCGTATTTAATCATTATAAAATGAAAGTATATGTTATAATTTTTGATTCCAAAATATTCAAAAATAAAATTTCAAAAAAAAAATCTACGGTTTTTAAAGTGTGATAAAGGTTGAAAAAAAAAAGAAAGAAAGAAGAAATGATGTTGTTATAGTTATAATGGGAAGAGTGATTCCACGTACTGATGAGAATGCTTGATGAGTGCATCTAAGGCATTATTGGTGACATTTGATAATGAACGACATCGCTTAATTAATGCTTTCGTATGTTGTTGTCGTAATTCTCGATTGATAAGCGCATATAAGATAGGATTTACAGCTGAATTAAAGCATACCAATAAATGAGCCGCAAAAAATATCGATGATAATGTTATGGTTGACCAAGTTACCTATAAAGGTGTATCATTCATTTTTTGTTTCTTGTTAACTAAGAAAATATGATGTAATACGATAGTAAGTAAAATAATACTAAAGTTTAATTGGATAGGTAAAAGATGAAAGTTTAATTTGTGATAAAAAGTTATGATAAGAAAGATTTAAACTGTGCAATGTTCAGTTCTGATAAAAAGATTTTCTTTTTAAACTTTTCTTTTTTTGAAAAAAAAAATTTTTCAATATGATTAAATATGATAAGTTAATTGATGAGAGAAACATTTATTCAATCTGTTATCATTTATTAACTTAAAAGTCATACAATAGATTACGAGATAAAATTTTGTAAATATGAAATTTAAAAAAAAAAAGTAAAAAGAAAAAAAGAAACTTACAACAATAAGCTCAAAATGTGCCAGTAAATTTAATGTCCAATGTGGCATCCAACATAAAAAGTAAAATAAAATCATGGCAATAATCCGTTTCGTTACCTGTAAACTTTTTTTTTTTTTCAATTGTAAACAATACCAAAGTTATCGATTTAAATTTTTAAATTCATACCTAGTATGTAGTGGAAAATTTAAAAAATTATATACGCTTTGAAATTTTAGCAATGTCATTAAATTTTATTATTTGAAACTGGTTATATATCATCTCGCTTTGTCGATATCATTGATCAAGAAGTTTAATTTAAATTGCAGAAATTTTTTCTTCATGA